GTGGAGATCTCAGCTCCCTGCTTCTTCTAACCCGTGGTTGCTGTGAACTGCAGTTGACAGCATGTCCGGCTTGAGCTAAATGGGGAAGCCAAGTCTACTTGAAAACATGTGTGTGCGTGTGTGTGTGTGTGTGTGTGTGTGTGTGTGTGTTGTGATGTTTTTTAAAAGACTGACAGGAATGTGAGCTGGTTTGCATAAATTATGCATGGGGAAGACTTCAAAATACTTCATATTAGAGAATCTGTGAACTTAAGACAAACAAACACAAAATGAAAAATTAATAACAAAAATTCTGATTATCATATTGATAATTGATAATATTGATACGACACACCATTCCTAAAAGGAGGAGTGGATATCCGATGTATGCACATCCTTTATAGAAGTCCTCAGTCTACCTTGACTTCGTTATCCCAACTGTACCCAGAAGGAGCTGAGGAAGAATGTTCACAAAAGGGTGAACAGCCAGAGTTTCTATATCAAACGCATGTGAATTCTTGGGGTGTAGGCAAAGTTCCTCCATCCTTGTCTCCCATTTTTTAAGAACCACAAGTTTTTGGTTGAATCTCTTAAAAGACAAAACAGTCCTAGCATCAGAGCTAAAGAGGTGAGCTGTTGTCACCTTGTTTGAGGAACAAGAGGAAAGGTTGTGTTCTTGTGGGGGGGGACTCTGCACAGCATCGCTAATGGCTGGGTTTAGTCTCCGTCTCCATTCTGAGAGGTGTCATTATTTTGTGGTTCTTGTTCAGGCACAGTTAAGAGATAAGGGCCATCTAGGGAATGAGGAAGATGAAATACAGCAATCAAGCTGCAGAGGTAATGAGAATTTTCAAGTGTTGCAGTAAGCGCAATTAACAGCACCGCATTTCTGTCTTCGTTAGGCATAATTATGACAAGACATTTCTCATCTGGATAAACGAGGAAGACCACACCAGGGTAATCTCAATGGAAAAGGGAGGCAATATGAAACGAGTATTTGAACGGTTCTGTCGTGGACTAAAGGAAGTAAGAGTCCATCACATCATGGGTTTTAAATTATTATTATTTTATGTGTTTTAAATTATTATTATTTTATTTTGCATGTAAGAGTGTTTTGTCTGCAGTGCCTGTGGTGGCCAGAAGAGGGCCACAAATCCCCTGGGACTACAGAAGCAGATGGTTGTGAGCTGCCACGTGGGTGTTGGGATCCAATATGGGTTCTTCTGGAAGAACCGCCAGTGTTCTTAAGACGGGAGCCATATCTTTAGCTGTTATTTTGCATTTTAAAAAAAAGATATTTTGGTGCCTTCCAAAGAGGAACTCCTTTTTTTCCTCTAAGAATCAAATCTTCCAGAGCAGTGCTTCCAAACGGTGGGGACTTTTCTCTTTGCGTTATTTTCTCATTCATTCTAAACATGGTGAGGGGGTGGTATAAGATGGGGACGAATGGGTGGGTGGAAGGGCAGAGGTAGAATGGGGTGGGAGTGGATGGGCGAGGACGTGGGACTGGACGGGACAAAACAGAACAGATTCTCACAGCTGCTCTGTTGAGAATTCCCATGTTCTCCCACAGTCTTTGCATGGGAACGAGTATCAACTGGTATTTATTCTAGGGACCGTGTTAAATGCTTTTCTTGGCCACCCGACTTACTAGGATCACTTTAACACTCTATAAAAGAGCTCTCGGCCAAGCACACTGAGCCACTACAGTTGCTCTCTTGCGCTCTGCCGGCCACTCTCCCGGCGTTTGGGATGACCTGAGGGAATAGATATTCCAGAAGGCTGCCATCTGTTCCTGGCTGTTGCGTTTGTAGGTGGAGCGGTTAATCCAAGAGCGAGGCTGGGAGTTCATGTGGAATGAGCGGCTAGGCTACATTCTGACTTGCCCCTCGAACCTCGGGACTGGGTTGCGAGCTGGTGTCCACGTTAAGATCCCGAAGCTCAGCAAGGTAAGGGCCTGTGACCAGAAGCTGGGTCTCAAGACTCAGCTCAGGTGTGACATCTTTGCAGAAGGTGGTAGAGTTCACGCCTTAACCCTGACCTTTGCCACCTGCAATGGAAGAGTGATGAGAGGCCCAAGTCTGGCTTAAGGTCACTTGCATTAGTTAGGATAAAAGGTGCAGGACCTGGGAAAGGGGATGGTGCCTCAAGAATGGTGTGTTTGAGTCTTCATCGTGTAACGAACAAGGGTAGGTGTGGGCTGTCTGCTCTGCTTCCTAGGGTCCCCTTCTTGGCCTAACAACTGAGCCTGCATGAGAAGCACCTAGAGGGAGGGTGTGGGGAGCCCAAATTGTTAGGCCTTGCTTGTGCAATTTCTCTTCTTTCTTTCTTTCTTTCTTTCTTTCTTTCTTTCTTTCTTTCTTTCTTCCTTCCTTCCTTCCTTCCTTCTTTCTTTCTTTCTTCTTTCTTTCTTTCTTTCTATTTTCTTTCTTTCTTTCTTTCTTTTTTTCATTTTGTATTTGTGTTTTGTGCGGTGTGGGGGAGTATGTGGGTACACAGCGGAGGCCAGAGGAGAACTTCCAGGTTCCAGTGGTCGAAGTCAGGCCCTCGGGGTTGGCAGCAAGCACCATCCAGGTCCAGGAATTTTTATTTCTTGCAAGTTTTCACGTGACTGAGGCTGCTGGTAGGGGCCCTTGTTTGGAGGATCGCTCAGAGCATTTTCCTCATTTGCATAACCATGGTCATTCTTTGTGTTCTAGAACATGAGAGAAGGAGAGAGCATGTAATCATGTCCATGACGAGGTTTAAGGTGTAGGGAGAACACATGTAGGCAT